ACGTCCCCCTCCAAGACAAAAATTTCTTACAATACTTGATCCTGGAGTTCCCATGTGTTCTGAATTGAGTTTAAAATTAGAAGTCTAATAAATTGAACATTAGTAGTCGTAAACTCGAAATTAGGTTGGTTGTTCAATGACTATTATAAAATAAATTAATAATTTGGCCGGGATAGCCTGGTAGGTAGGGCGTTGAACTCGTGTTCGTGAGAACGGAATTTCGAATCCAGCCGGCCGAAGAATACCCATGTATAAAACGGTGACTGGTGCATGTTAAATCTTCCGTGGTCACAAAGTCCTCTAAGTTCTCAAACAAATCAGTCTCTCAACAAATCAATACCTCTGGGTACTGATCCAGTTCTCTTGTCTTCTGGATTGAGTTCAAAATTATAAGGTGATTATTCAGTATTATACGGAGTTAAACATTTGAAGTCGTAAACTCAAAATTAAGTCGGATGTTCAACGGCGGTTATAAAAAAAATAAAATTAATAATCAAATTGTATTTTCTTATGCTCCTTCTAACTCCTTGCTTATTTTTGGCACACCTTCAGAATTTCATGTTTCTAAGTCATAGAGCAGCAAAGCGAAATGTAAAGTCAAGAAAAAAAGGCAACTTAAAAAAAAAATTCGCAAAAAAAAAAGTAAAANAAAAAAAAAAAAAAAAAAAAAAAAAAAAAAAAATGTCATTTAAAATTTTAACTAACATGTATTAAGAATTTCAAGAAAAAAAAAAAACTCTGTTAAACATATAATGGTTCTTCTAACATGCCATATCTTTACTCTGTACTTATGATGTTCTTAAAAAGAGTTTCTGTTTTCTTCCTGGTTCAAAAAATATGTGCAATAATAGAAAGGCTCTACATTATAGTCTCATCACAATCAATATATTTAAAACTCAAGCAATGTTATAAAATTTTTAATAATATAATGTTAATATTCAGCAATAAAAAAAACGACAGTTTACTTTTGGTGTATTGAAATAGAATTGAACTTAAAAGGGCCCCATCATTTTCAGTAGCTTAGGGCCCCGTCAAGCTTAAATCCGGCCCTGACACTGAAGATGAAGCGATTTAACAGATAGAAAAAGTAGCCACGATGACTGAAAAAGGTAACCCATTTTTCGTTGCCACAGAAAAAATAGGACTTTCACTTCCTCTTGTGGATTCCTTATATCTGTGAAAATTCTATGATCTAAATAAATGGCTAGGCCTAAAAGTAAATAAACAGCGTAACGAAGTATTCACTGCCAGGTAATTAATTACATTTTTCTCTGATTTTTTTTCTTCTTTTCGAAAATTAATGTTAAAAACTAAGAAGTTTTTTTTTATTTAAATGTACTTCTTTATTTTGGTATTTACTTTGCACCACTTTTCTATTTTTATTACTGTATTGCGTTTATTGCACATCTGATGCAACAAGATTCGTTTCAAGTTGAAAAGTAGAATTTTACTCTTGTTTATAAAACGAATGTAATTTATTTTGATATTTTTTTACTTATGGTATGATAGAGGTGTCAATTTTAAATTATATCCCAGCTTTTAGAAGCTTTTTAAAATCAGGAGAAAAAAACGCACAGAATCCCCCTCATTCCTATCAATTGTTTCTTTCAAAAAAGTTTTTACATTAAAAAACATATATCCTAGTGTAAAATACTTTTTGGTTTTATTTTACACTGTGGAACACATTTTCTTGTACATGATCAGGGGTCTGTCCACGTTGAATTTACTACCGTTTAGCGGTACCTTCACAAATTCAATTTTAGGAAAAACGGTAGTTTCACAAATTAAACTTTAGGAAAAACGGTAGTTTCACGAAGTACTTTTGGGTGGACTATACTTGAGGGTGCCCCCGCCAAGTTGTGATCGCGATTGATCGCCAAGCTGGGTGATGTTGAAAACCAATCGTGATTCTGATTGGTTTCGATTTGAATCGTGATTCTGATTAGTTTAGAATTTAGCGTTGTTTTTAAATGAATTTTTAAATGTAATTTCAGAGATCCGTTAGTTCTACTTTGGATACCGGCTGATACGGTTATTTTTGATTCTGTTAGTAAAAATGAATACTGTCAATAAGATAAACCGTAAGTTTCTGTACGATTTGAATAACAATGGAAAAAAAGCAGTGATTGACTGGTGTATAAATGAAGGTTTAATTAGTAATAGATATAAATTTTCTGTTTGTGGGTTACCACGGCGTTCCCGGCAAACAAGTATGGCGCCAAACATAAGTCGCCAAAGGGGCACCCTCAAGTATATTTTTCCCATACTTTTTCTTAAGATTTTATTTTTGTATCCTTAAGAAACGATAAATCTATATTTTTACTATGTTTTTGTGTTGATTTTTTAATATTTTTAATTTTTCACATATTATGTCTAAATTTCCACAAAATAGGTACCTCTCAGAAAAACCTACACAGACCCCGGATGATTCATGCTCTCACCACTGACCAGTAGATTTTCAAAATGACCGACAGCGATTGAAATTAAACAATGTTTTTAATAAATTTAGTCCAAACTCAAAATATAAATAAAAAATAGAAAGTTTGTTTTTAAAGCATGTCAAATTTGATACATAAATTATTTGTAGACTCATAACATATTTATACTATCAGATATGTGTTTTGGGTCTGTTTTCTTCGACATTTTTTTCTCACTAATATTATTTCTCAGACAATTCCTTAATGCAATGGTGGTAAAAAGAAAATGATGAAAGAACTGTTTATGAGGTTATTGTAATATATATCTACATGTATTAGTAGTTAGAATTCATCTTTCTTGTGAAAATATTCTTACTACGCTCTTGCGCATGCATTAGCGTCATGTATAGTCTGTTTCAGATATGCTTACTATACCCGATCACCGTTAGCAGAAATTTTTTTTTCACCATCATGAAAATTTTGGGGAGATTTCCATATCCTGATCTGTGGCAGAATAATCGCCAAGTCTTGCAAACTTCTGGGCAGTGACCTGCAAGAAAGTAAAAAAAAAATGTCGCAGAAAGGTACCAACTCGAAAGGTATAACTCGTAGCTACCCCCTGGCAAACATCTAAATTTTTTTTGTAAAAAAATTGCAAATTTAGAATCTATTTGGCACCTTGGTGATTGTAGTTGGCGCTACAGATCAGGATACAGAAATATCCCCAAAATTTTTGATCATTAGTAGTTTTTTTTTTGTAAAAAAAACTTAAGAAATTATGATGTTCTAATCATGTATCCCTCTTTTTCTTAGACGGAAACATCAAGTATGTCTATTTAATTATAGTATTTTTCAGTGATAAAACATGAAGTGTGACAGTGAAACAATTCAATTTTCATACTTTTCATTTTTGTACTATTATATATTATTGTAAAATGAGTAGCACAAAAAAACAAGATTTAAATATTGAAGATTGATTCTTATTAAAATATTTATTAAATCTTAGCATTGAAATGTTTTTGAGTGAAGATTTATAAGAGGGCAGATCAATAAGTAAGTTTGTACTGAGTCGCAGCAAGAATGTGTCATAATCTTGAACAATGCAGAGAAACTGACAGTAGGTGCTCAGATGTCTGATGAGAAAATTTGTTTTTCCTCTGTCTTGTTTTCTGTGTATGGTGGGCTAGGATCAATGGTGTGTCATTTAGAAGTTCAGTCTAAATTGGGCAGGTGCACAGCAATCAGATTTCTATGGGGCTAAATGGGTTAATTGCAACACAAAACAATCAGAAAATCACTGCTGTATATGGTTAGCGCTCAATTTCTCATCAAGGTATTGTAGAGTGGAGTTAAGAATTTGAAGCCGGATGAATGTATATTATAGATGAAAACTTCATCATCTAGCACTGTTGCAAATGTTGACCACGTAGCTGCAATCATTAGAGACAGGTCGGAGCATAAAACTGGGGGAAATTGCCAACATGCTGAACATTTCGCATGGCAGTGTTTTCTTCATTTCTTCATCTATTCATAAAACTTCTTAATTTAAATAAAAATATGCTGATATGTATTATAATAAATATAGTTTTTTTTTAAAAATTAAAGCACTTTTAAAATTGATTTTTGTACAAATTTCTTAAAAACTTGGTTCTGGCAAAAAGGTTGAAACTAGTTGTAAGAGTCAATAAATTGCTCTGAGAAAATTTTTTAAATTAAAATTTTGTGTTTGCTGGTAGTTTTTCCTTTTATCTATGTCTGATCTATTTTATGCTCTTAGATGCTATAAATTCACTATCGAGATAATGAGTTTAATCATATACAGTCGGATCGACTCGAATCTCATGGGAAAGGCAAAAAATTTGAGATAGAGATTTTTCGAGTTATACAGGTACTTTAAAAAATTAAATTTAATTAAGACATTCGATTAAAAGTGCTTATTGTTTTTAGTAGAAAAATGCAGGCATTTCTGTAAACCACATATATCTATTTACATAAAATTTTTTTTAACATTACCTTTAACACTGAAAATATTCCTTTTAAAGATTTTTGATTCTTAACCTTCTTTGTTTGTCATATCTGGGCATTTGTGCTTGATTATTAGATATTCGAGAAACAAAGGTTTTGAAAGAAAAATTTCATATTTAAAAGTTACATTTAGATAAATGTAATTTGTTAACAATTGCATAAAAGCTATTATTTTTCTTTTATAGTTAGCCATATGGCACGTGAAAGCAGTGAAGATTCTTCTATTTTAAGCAGCGAAAGTGAATCACGTAGAAAAAATAAAATCAAGAAACCCTCTCAAAAGTATTCTGAATCGTCTTCACATAAGTATAGATCAAGATCACGCTCACCACAATTAAAAAGTCACCGAAGAAATTCAAGGTCTCCATATTCAAATTATAATAAACATCAATATCAGTCTACTTCATCCTCCAATAATCATCACAGGTCTTCTCATTCACCTGCATCCAGAAAAAACAATAATTCTCATTCACATAAAGATAAAAATCATTCTAAGCAGAGTCATTCAGAGTTTTCAAATTCAGAAAACTCTTCAAACAAGCATCATAAGAAAAGATATAGGGATAAATCTTCAGAAAGTGAAGATGATAGAACACAAAGGGCCGCACACAATTATGAGGATTCTCAGAAACGAGAAAGGTCCTATATGGGAAAATTTAATGACAATGGTAAGCATTATGTATCCAAACAAGGAAGATACGATGGAACTGACAGAAATTTAGATCATCATAGGAAAAATCGCACCCATCAGGATGACTTCATGGATAGGTTAGATTTAATTTGTTATTTTAATGATAATTTTTGATATCAAATAATTCTTTGGTGTTTGGTTAAATACTGTATTGTGAAGTAAAACACCTTAACTAAAGAATCGTTATTTTTTTTTTTTTATCTAATGATTGTATTATCACGTTTTAAGATGTATTATCACGATTCATTGGTTCGCGATTCTTATTGGTTCAAGGGATTGACCTGAAATATGCTAATTAATTTGAATTGTATTTTAAATTATAGTATCAGACATGAAAATATATTTTCTTTAAATCAGGATGCACCTTTCCATTAACGAAGACAAGACCAAATTCATGGAGTTTTCAAGCTCAATTGTAAACTATAGTGAACCTTTGCAGATAAACGGACATTCCTTTGAAAAGGTTAAAGAATTTAAGTATCTTGGTNGGGATTGACCTGAAATATGCTAATTAATTTGAATTGTATTTTAAATTATAGTATCAGACATGAAAATGTATTTTCTTTAAATCAGGGTGCAAGGTTCCAAGACCAAAAGTGGCTCACAAAACCTTTTTAATTGGCCTTGCGGATAATTTCTTAAACCGTGGTCTGAAGCAGCAAGTTACTGATCTAGCTCACAGTTTTTCTTAAAATATCAGAATGTGATTCTTTCATTATGAAAGTTCTATTTAAGCCATGGATTCAGTGTTTCTAGTAAAATGTAATTACTCATATATTATTGTAACTAAATAAAAAAAAAATAATTATTTGCAATGATGATCATCACATTTATCTAATTCTGTATTAGTAACAAATTTTGTTTGTTATATAATAGTGAAATTTAACTTTTCTGATTAATATGACTTTAACTTCCTCATAAACCATTATTTGCTTTTTAATATAATAAGTATGTTTGTTTAAATGTTTGTTACCTTAAATTTTTTTTAAGCAAATGCCAAAGACTGATTACACATTTGTAACTCATTCATATTACTTTCAAACAGTTTTTAATAAATTTTTATAATTTTGGCATTATGTTAATGTTGGCCCCCAACACTGTATTTTTGATGCCTACCCTAAAATAGTTGTGCATCTCTGTTTTAAATAAACATGCTTTTTTTTTCTTTAGTCACAATCTAAAAAAATATTTCAAAAGTCTAGGTTAGGAGATTAATAAAAATTTTATGCTTTAATGTTGATTACAATTTTGACATACTACTCCCTATTTCTATAACTATTTAAGAGTATCTAAAATTTTTTTTAAACAAAGATGTTAAAATTCCCTTAATCCAAACATAAAAGATATTTTATGTTTATTCTCTACTATTTTTTTTATCGTAAAATAATGATTAGGAAACTTTTGAGTTGTTAATGATTTATTGATTAGAGGTACAGAAATATATATACATAACTTTTAACTGTTTAATTTTAAATGTTTGACTTGAATATGTGAAATAGTTTTTGAGAATTTCTCATATTACTCAGAAATTATTTGCCCAATTTTGCTCAAATTTTGTATTTTATCTTTTACAATTATTTCGACAGAAATGTAATAAAATTGACGCCCGGTGGCTGAGCGGTAGCGCTTCGCGGTGTCGTGCCACAGGTCCCTGGTTCAATCCTCGGACCGGGCAAGGTTGACTCAGCCTTTCATCCCTTCAGTGGGTCGATAAATGAGTACCAAGCGTGCTTGGGAACTAAACACTGGGGGTTTCACGTTCGGTTGACCACCTAACCGGAACATCTGCTCCTGCATCCCAGACCCCAAAGGTCAAGAAAACTGAGATGGGCACTGTAGGCCTTGGCCCTCTGTGGGCTGTCGCGTCGCTGAGTTTAGTTAGTAATAAAAATTTGTGTGTTTTATAGTTCAAAATTTTTATGACCAATATTAAATTAAATAAAAAAGAAACACTTCATGTGAAATATAATTTATAAATATTGTAAAAATATATATTTTACATGATATTATTTTCATACAAACAAATTTTACAATTGTATTAAAAATATTTTAGATTCTCTTAAATAGTGAAGTATTCAAAGTTTGTAATTAATATTAAGTCCAAACTTTTGAGCACTCTCCTGTCTAAGCTATTGACACCCTGTTTTCCATATTGTGACCAATCCTTATATTTTAAAAGTCAATGATCTAAATTCTATACAAAAAGCCATATTGATTTTGTAATTTTAAATTCATCTGCTGAAATTATCATTTGAAGTCAATCTCTAAAACTATTAAGATCACATCTTAGTAAATTATAATTTGATTTTTAAATTAAAAGTTATACAAGTGTTCTTTTTAGTATTATTATTTAAAAAAAACAAACAAACAAACTTGATATATTCAGTTGGCATTAAATTAAGTTTTTTAAGAAGGATCTTGTGTATTGAGCTTTTTGTTTATTTAAAAAAAAAAGAATTCAAAATATTATTAAATGAAATTTTTTGTGTAACTTCAGTTAATTTTTAAATTAAATTTGTATAAGTACTTTGTATTGAAGAATCTTTTAAAAAAAAATGTGCAAAAAGTTATTTTACTGCATTAATGCGTTTGATATGGTATTTAAAATAACCCAAATAAATTACATTCTTTAAGAATCATTATTTGATCTTATCTTGAAATTCCAGAGCACTATACAATTATGAAAAATTCATTCTCATTTTGCTTCAAAATTCAACTTATTGAGTTTTTCCAACTCTGTTTTATTTGTCATAATTTATGTTTCATCGCATATATTTTTAACAAATCCGTCAACATAAATTTTATTCTTGTTCATTACACTTAAGGAATATTCCTTCAAAAATAAAATATTTAATCTTTTTTCGCCTTTTCTTATACCTAAAAACTGGAAATTTAGCATAACACTGAAGAAAATTTAGTGTACATATTTTTGAATTTTGGAACATTTCAATAATATTTAAAGATGTGAAATAACTACTAATACTTTACTCAACCTTTTTTACTTGGAACTATTAGAAAAACAATTTAATGGCACATGGGCAAGATTATTCTGAGAGATTAATGGTATAATTTCAGATTATTCATAATCATTGTATATAATATTTACAAAAACATTTAATTTGGATCCATGCATTTTTCCATTTAAAAGTATATCAGGAATTTTAAATTTAGTAAAAATAGATTGTTGCAGAAGTAAAGATAAAGGTGCTGAAGTAAACATTAATTTCTGAATTTATTCAGTGCAATAAATTATTTCAGTATAATGTGAAGTAATTTGATATATATTTATTACTGCATATTTTTATTGAAGTATTAAAATAAGCTATTGTTTTCCTCAGGAGGCGAATGGAAAGAGAAAAAATTGGAAAATCGGGTGTGCCTAGCATTTGGGGTGTTTCTCCAGAAAGAATATCTGAGTAAGTTTATATTTATAGTGATTCAGAAGTATTTATTATAGCATTTTTATATGAATTTGATGTAAAAATGTTGCGATAAATACTTTGCATATTTTATATTGTTGCTTCTATGTTCTATAATGCCACAATTTTCATGTCAATATTGTATGTTAAAGAGTTAAACTTAGTCCACAAATTATTTTTGAAATAAATGTGTAAAATTTTTTTTTTTGAAATTTAGCTTTGTGTTCATTATATTAAATGGGGTTTAAGATTGAGTTGAGAATAAGTTATGTTATTTTGAAACATGTTAAAAAAGTGCTATTTTTATTGATGCTTAGTGAAAAACAACACTGGCAGAAGTACAGGTTCGTAAAAAGCTCTTAATTTGTAACTTATTTCAAGGATTTTAAATGCGTTTTTTCTTCTTTGATTTTCCAATTTTCTAAAAAGATGCTATTTTGTTTTGTGGAATAATTATGTGAACCTTAAATAGCATTAAAGTTAAGTAAAACCTAAAAAATCTTTGCAAAATCTCTGATATTCTCATTAAAAAAGAAGTTTTTTATTTTTATTTAGTAATTTTTTTTATCAAGAATTTTGTGATTTATGAAATCTACAAATTTTGTCTTTGCATACATTTAAGACTTCCATTATTTTTGCTATTTCTACCGCATGGGAAATCCGATGTCTTTGAATAAAAGGATTTGTAGCTTTATTAATTCACTATGTTAATATATTTACAGTTGTACAGTTCTTACTTTTAGCAGCATTTTTATAAAGTTATATGTTTTTATACAACAAATATTGCCTTTTTTTACACTGCAGTTCGGCATAATTTAAAAAAAAATAATAATATTCAAGGCAGATAATAGAGATAATAAAGCAAACTTAAAAAAAAAAATCCTTGAATTAAAATTACTATTTAAACTGAATTGGTTTTAAAATTTTCATTTTTTCTTAAAATTAATATTTTTGCAACATTATTACTAAAAAATAATTTTTTTTTCTCAATAATTGCATGTAATGTCTGCTTATAAATCAATCATTTTAATTGATATAAATTTTACTTTATATTTAATTTTTATTTCAGTTCTGATGAATATGATAGTGAAAATGAAGTAAAAAAGAAGAAAAATAAAAGTAAGTTATTTAATGTACAGTATAAAAAAAATCTTCCTGATATTTTGAATACATATATATTGTTCTGATTTTTAGCTTTTTGTTCTGATATTTATAATTTTGATGTTTGTTTACAACATCTCATTTTTTACAAATACTAATGACGATTTTATAATAACAAATTTTGTAAATCAAAAGATTCGATGTAACATCTTTTCATTTTAATTAATAATGTTTGTAAAGATTGCTAAATTCAATTATTCAAACCTCAAAATCGCTAAATAATTACATATAGACTGGGGCATCTAGACTTATCTGCAGGATTCATTGTTTTCAACTATTTCAGAATTTAATCATTTCATGAAAAAGAAATTGAATTAAAAATTTCACTTTGTTAATTTTTTATGTTGATAAATTCAGGGGTCAACATACAGCATTGTAAAAACTTTATTTGCATATTGATATCAAACTATTATGAGTTACTCAGTGTCCCATTAATAAAATTATACGAATAACTCTCTGTTTTAAATAAAGTAACCTAGAAATTAAAAGTAATATATTTTGTTATTCTTTTATAATAAAATTTGATTTTATTATACTTTAAAACAAATAAATTTTTTCAGTATGTCATTTTTCCTTAAAGTAGTCTGGTATGAGTTATTGTTACAAAAAATTTCTGAATTTTTTTTTCTTTCTGAAAAATGATATCCTTTTACATTTTTTGTTTGCCCACTACTAGGTGGTATTGTTCAACTAATTACTTCACCAAATGTTTTTCAAATTTTTGAATTTTAATGCCATATTCTAAACTAATTTGTAAATAAATAAATATTAAAAAATCTATAAAAGTAAACTGACTATATTTATTGACTGTTTTTTTTCCCTTGTCATCTTCTAACATATTTTGTTTTTTCTTTAAATCTTTGCCCCTGCATCACGTTTTTTCTTGAAAGTCTTGTTCATAAATAAATCTTATTGATTTTTATAATATTTTGGGTGAATTGCCAAAAGTAACCAAGCCACAATATAGTAGCAATGATGAGCAAGTAGAAATCAAATAATAAAGCAAATAAAAAAAAATGAAAATTGGTAAAATATAAATGGAAAATAAAGGTACTGATTTTACACATGACATTAAACTTAAAAATGTTATTTCTCATCATATTTGATTTGACCACTTTTGACATTATACCCATGATGTATTAAATATAACTAAATTGTGAATTTGAAATGTTCAATTTAGAATAAATTTTTTTTAAGGTAATTTTAATCTTTCATGCTTTAAAACGGACATTTTTTAAAATTAAGTAATGTTTGTAAAGGGGCAATGCAGCCAGTTTTCTGCCATTGGCTGCAGAAACAATTGGATTGGGAAGTTAAGGCTTGGCAACTTTAAAATCAACGGCATGAATGTTTGAAATGTCGTCAGCATTGTGTATCCTCAACGATGAACTACTATGTGTATACCATTTTTATTAGAAGTTCGTTGTTATTCTTACTTGTAGAAATATTAATAAAAATGGCAATTTGAAAACTGTTATGGAAAATTTGACAAAATCAACAATTTCTTTACTGCAAAGTGTATGGTCCTCAGTATAACCTAAAGTTATATACCTAAAGTTACCATTGGTAATTAGTGTTTTCTTTAATTAATCACCATTTAGAACTCCCATTCCATCACACTTTAGAAGAAGAGTTCATCTTTTTGTTAGACTTAACAGCTTTAAATAAGTTATTTTATACTTTAATTAAAGTTAAAATACTATTTTTTTTTATTTATTGATAAAAACAAAATGATCTAGTTTGATTTAGTAAAATATATAACTGAAACAGCTGTTTAAATGTATTTGGTATCACAGTAGTTGTTGATAATAAACTTGTAGATAAAACAGTTTGATCATTTATGGGATTATCATTACATTAACACATACATTGATTAAATTTAGCCCATATTTAATGAGTTTTTCATATTAAGCAGTACCCTTAACAAAAAATGCTCTTGAAAGAATGTCCAGACAGTGATATTATTCTCATTAGTCTTATTTTACTCAATCGGAGGTACAATTATAAGAGAATTTTACAAATATGTGTCTGCACAAACTTTGTTGATTTCATAACTATTACTTAAAGTTTATTTGATATTTTAGGTAAGAAAAAGCATAAAAAGAAAAAGTCAAAGCTGAAGAAAGAAAAAAAGAAGAAAGAGAAAAAAGAAAGCAAGAGAAAGAAAGTTTCTTCCTCTTCCAGTGAGTCAGAAGAGGAATTAAAAGAATTTGAAACTTGGGTAGAGAAAAAAAGTAGGTGATAAGAAAAAGATTTTGATTTAGCCATTTTGCATCTAAATCATATTCTCTTCAGTCTATTTGCTAGTCTTGATGAACATTTTCTCACTTCACCTATAAATGACACTTTTTCTTTCTTAGTTTGTTTATCTGTAATTAATTAGACTTAAGATGACTGGTTAATTCTTTTTTTGTGTGTGTTTGTTCTGTTAAAAGTTTTAAACAGTTTGAATCCATATTATTGTTTGTTCAAAATAGCAAGTTTATATTATCAGTTAAAGCAGGTAATTTCCACTTTCTTTTTCTCGACTTTCATCAATGTTACAGCAGTAAGCTTTTCATTTTTTGAGTTCCATTGTATCCATTTCTTATTGCTACAATTTAGAGTAATTTAAAATGAAAAGAGCATTATTCCTTAAGCGTATACATTTTTATTATATTTATTTTTGACAAAAAGAATAAGTTTAACACTGATTTATTAACTTTTAGAACTGGATGATGAAGAAGAGGATATAATTGGACCTGTACCAAAAACTCATGTTCAGCTATCTGCTAAAGAGTAAGTACTATGTAATGCTATTTTTAAGATTAAGAAATGCTTTTTAAGAATATTTAAACGTTTTTGTTAAATTCTTTGCATGAAATATTTCAACTTTTATTTGGCTAACAAAAATTAAGAGATTTAATTCAAATTTTAATTTTTTTAATTAGTTTGAAGCAGAATGAGTTGCAAATGAATTTATAACAATTTCTCTTCAGTTAGCAAAAATGGTCAGGTACAGTACAGATGTATTCAACCAATTCTACTAAATAATTACAAGAAAATATTTTTTTTAATAGTAACTTTGAGTACCAATAGTTTCTGATTGTAATTGTAAATAATTTCTTATAAACCTTATAGAAATTTTCACGCTTTAGAATTAACATTAATTGTATTAAATTTATAAGATCATAAGATTTTTAATTTCATAATAGATATTGAGGCTTGCGAACTTCTAGATTTTATCAGGGGATTTTTCCCAAACATTTAAAATGGTAGCAAAGTTTTGTTTCAACATTTGATTTATTCACTTATTGTCATAAAAAAAATCTAATAAGCTTGCTGTTATATATATAGTGCCAACAAATTTTTAGAACTTTGCTGATTTTATTAATTTTTATATTGAAGATAATATTTAGTGTAGATTAACCTTAGGATTATGAATAGATTTTTCTAAGAGTACTATTATTGTATAAGTTAATTGCATTTATATAAGTTAATTGCATTATTAACTTATATTGTATAAGTATTGTATTGTATAATTATATTGTATAAGTTAATTGCATTATAAATACTTACATAGTACATTACATTACATTACATTAATAGTTTGTTATTTCAGCAATTCTATATTTTATACTTATATTTTATTTGATAAGAAAGTATTTTGAATATTTATAACATTTTTTTTTTAAAAAAAGGTAATGCTATGATTATATTAATTTTTATAATAAAAATATACAGATGATAGTTCAATTTTTTTGTTCAACTAAAAATTCTTTAAAATAATAATCTGTTTAGTTCATTCGAATTCTTTTTGTTTAATGAAATTACAGGCGCAGCATTTATTCTTATTCAAGAATATGTACCATATTATAGATTTTCATGCATTCCTTACAGCTAATTGAAAATGACTATTTGGTGGTTTGAACTAAACTCCCAGTTCTTTTGGTACAGCAATATATTTATTTAAATTTCACAGTCCTCATCTTTTACTTCATTTGTGAGATCAGTTCTAAATGTAGCTGGGTTTATGCTGCAGTACAGGGATATTTTACATTTCAGCTTTTGTACAAGATTTAAATAAGTAAATTTTTGACCAAATGTATATTTATATGTATTGTTTTTTATATGATGTATTTATGTTCGAAATTGAATTTTTTCTTCACATATTTCTGTATTTAATAAGTGTTGCATCATAAATATCCAAATTCAACACTGAAACATATGTATTTTTACAGTTACGGCAAAGCTTTATTGCCTGGTGAAGGTGCAGCTATGGCTGCTTATGTTGCTGAAGGAAAAAGAATTCCCCGAAGAGGAGAAATCGGTTTGACAAGCGATCAGATACAAGCATATGAAGCTGTTGGTTATGTCATGAGCGGAAGCAGGTAAGTTTCCCTTCTAGTTATTATTAATGATGCTTCTTATAAAAGAGTATTCATGCATTAATTGATGTTAGTAATATGTAAAAGTATAACGCTGATATCATTTAGTCAGAGGTCTCCATTTTTTTCTTCAAAATATATGTACATCATGACGTTTACTTTGATCTCAATAAAACTACCTTAGTTTTAAAAAAAATTTACTACACAGATCAATACTTAAGACTAGCAATCAATAATAATTTTTATTTTTAGTTCTGCAAATTTATGTAATATTGGTAATTGATTCACATGTTATTAAAGTCTCTTATTCAATAGTAATCAGTTATAAATTCAAGCTATTATCCATCTATTCTAAGATATTAGCAATTATCAAATTTTTTTTTGTTTTTCAAATTGAATACCAATAAAATCAACTATTTTTTATAAATTTTTCTAATATCTTATTCTAGATAGGTGGGTGTTTCAGTGTTAAAAAATTCAGTGCTATTTCTACGTAAAGGACTGTTTGTAGGTTGAAAATGGAATGAGGTTATTCATGTGCGCAATCATTTGGGAGGGTTAAAAAAAACAACAAAAAAAAAAAACGTTCTATCTCCACAACCACCACCACTGGGTTAAGTGTGCAGTAAAGCAGTTAATAATTAATCTAAACCGCCCATATTTTATTTTTTATGTAGTGTAGGATCTTGATCATCCAAATTATAGAGGTAATTTTTTTAAAAATGTATTTTCATCAAGAAACTCTGAAAATTGAGGGTTTTTTTAAAAAAAAAATAATAGTACTATTATTTAATATGATTTAAAATTGTGTTTTTGTCAAATAGGTATAAAGATGTTTAATTTTAAAATTTGCTTGTTTTATTACTCCTAATAATAGTATTCCTTTTATTTTTGTGAAAAATCATTGGGTACAAAGCATTTCATTATCAATCGTTTCCTGATTTTATTGATTTGTATTCCTTTGTAAGATCTTTTTTATTCCATTTACATCATATTAAATTTTTCCAGCAAAGATCATATGATGCACTTCTTTTTAACAGCATTGAAGGCCAAACTAAACTACTCCTAATAATGAAAAAAAGTTGGAGCAACAAAATTATGATTTTCAGATTTTGTAGCAAAATCAAAACAATAGACTTCAACTATCAAAATGTTAGTTATTTGCATAAAATAATCAATTCTATTTTGTCATATAAAGCAAAAAGTGCTTTTCTATTTTATTTCCCAACACTCTTTGCCTCAGGGAATATCTTATTTAGAGCTGAAATAAGACAGTTTTATTGAAATTAAGGAAAAATTATATTCATGTTTAAAATAACTTTGGAAAAAATATTCATTAACAGAAGTTAAGATGAAAAAGGCTCAAATAATCAAGATTCTACTGTATATAGAAATCTTTATCTTATTTCAAATTATCAATAATATAATTCAAGTTAATTTTATGAAGAATCAAATCTAAGTGAAATCTCATGTAACTATTAAAGTTAACTTTAATTTACTATGCTTCTCTTTTGTACTGAGATATTATTTATTCTACTTACATAATATTGAAAAAAAAATGGACACAAATACTCCATTTTAAATATTTCCTATGCAAATATACAGTCAAATATTCTCCAAGGTATAAAATAACCTAATATAGTTTTTACCATTTACATTAAATAACTTTTGCATGCATGCTATCTTTAGTAAATTCTATCATTAATTTGGAATATAATGGTTGTAACATAACGGAAATTATGATGTAAACAAGTTTTTTTTAAGCTATTTACTTGTGCTGGAGTTTAGTTTACAATATTTAAACTAAGTTTTATTTTTACCTAGGCATCGGCGTATGGAAGCTGTGCGATTAAGAAAAGAAAACCAAATTTATAGTGCTGATGAAAAACGTGCACTTGCCATGTTCAACAGAGAGGAGAGGCAAAAGAGGGAGTCTAAAATTCTTTCTCAATTTAAAGAGATGATTAAAGTTGCCAGTGATAAAAGTTAAAAACTATTTCTGAAAAATTGTGTTTTGTTCTTGTAAATATGAATACATGTAAATAAAACAAAATTTATATAAACCTTTAATATTTTATGTGTTCTTATTTCTTAACAGTTTTGTCAAATTCAATTCTTTTTTGCAGGAAACAGTTTTTTGGCAATTTCAATTCAGGCAAATTTAAACTTCTTCAATTATCCTAATTTTGTACTGTTTAAAAGAGAACATTAACAAATTTATTAACTCTGATAATATTTTGTGTTAATATGCATTTACATATCTTTTTCAGTGCCGAACATTTAGAAAAATTATATTTAAAACTTCAGTATTTTGTGAAAACTCGCCCTGTTTCACGAAAAATATGCTAAAACTTGTACAGATATATATATTTTGTTCCATGCGATAAATAGTCATATTAAATTATGTGAAAAATTGAGTTCCACAAATATGGTTGAAGAATGTTATCAAGGGTGAAGTCCAATTGTTCAGTTTATCAGTGTTGAAATTTTTTATGTGTAAGAAAAAGCATGAACTGTCAATTGGTTAATGAAAAACTTAACCTATAATTTATTTCAAAATAATCAGTTTAGATTTTAGGGTAAAATCAATTTTATTTAAATGCATTTTTAATTTCAAGATTTATAACATTTATATAAGTTCCATGCTTAGCTCCTTAAAGTTGCTTGAATTTCAGTCACTTAATGATTCAGCAGCTGCATCAAATTGTAATAGTTGATCAAATCTTAAAATGCCTGACAGTCATGATGATTCTGTATTAACTGTAAAAAACATTTTTACTACATAATCATAGAATTTCTGAAATTGAAATTTGCTTTTTGGTTACACTGGCTTCAAGGATGAATTCAACTGTTTTTGACAGTTTTTATGAGATTAATGATACACATTGGGATATTCTTTAAATTTCTCAGGTTAAATTTATACAGATTCCATACTCAGCTCTTCATAATCATCTGAATTACCTGTCACTCTGTATAATCCAGCCTCTACTTCTATTTTATATATCAGCAATTGTATCAGGTTGTAATGATTGATCCAGTCTGCAAATGGCTGGCAGTCATCATGATTTTGCATCTCATGGAAAAATGTTTTTACTACTTCAAAATCATAGAATACCACACCAATTCCTGTCAAGAGTTGATTTTTTGAAACACCAGCATCGAGGAGGAATTCAACTATTTTTCGACAGTTGGTAAGGGATGAATCATAAATATTAGGATATTCTTTCAATTTTTCCCTAATTAGTATTTCAGTGCAACTAAAGACACCAGCTAAGTAAAAACAGATTTCTTTGATGCAAGTACGATAATCTGATGCGGACAAATATTGATCAAATTGTGATTCAGAAGTAGTTAACACACTGATAGAACAAGGAATACCACGTTCCTTTAGGGAATGTAATCTGCGCTCAAGAATACTATAGTGGTATACTAGCCACAAGAATTTTTTGTAAGATATCAACAAGGAAAAATCCTCAGAATTACACAATTTTTCAAGACGCTGTTGTAGAGTTGAAGGATTGAAGTTAATAATTTTGGGACAACACATAAGTTGATCCCCAGTTATACTGTATTCTTTTAAAATGTTTTCTGCTCTTTTTATCAAACAAACGGGTCTTCGTAACACTATTGGAAACTTGTTAATTAATTCAATAGTATTAATTCCGAGAATTGTGGGAATATCAGATAAAAATTTCAGGGCGATTTCAGGATGCAACGATAACAAATTTGGAACCGAGAATACCTGTAAGCAAGAACAAAAACCTTAAATATATCATAATAAAAGGTGAAAAATAATTTCAACAAGAAATCCAAGTATAAGATGTAAAAAATTTGGACAACTTTAAGTTGTTTTAGCTCTTTAATTGCTTTTATTTTAATCAAAAATTTCTTGTTTTTGTATCTTTCGGTAAATAGCAGGGAGATTTTAGAACAATTTTGTTCAGAGGCTTTAAACTTGCATAGAGAGCTAAATAAACTCAATTATTTGTCACATTTTCAAAAGAGCATTGCATTATAGCAGATTCTTTATTTAACAAAGTAATAGGTTTTTGGAAAAATCTTTTTTAAATTATGGTTCATAAATTTGAAAATTCTAGTTATTTTTTCCTATAAATTTTTTTTCCTCCATCATGTCCTTAAGCTTACGTTGTTTTTATAACAAAATGTACAGAATACTCTGATGTTAAGGAAATTAAACCTCAAATTCTGAAATTATATCCAAATTTTGAAATATTTCAAATCCTCATAGGAATAGAATTGTAAAAAAGCTGACTAGCGTCCTAAAAAAACTATAATTTCTATACAGATATTTAAAAACTTCCTGCTTTATTGTTCCAATTTAATATTCTGAGAACAGAAATTTCTTGAAAGAATTCTTAAACAGAAATATTTTCTTTTAAAATATTTGGTAAAGTAAAGAGGTGAAAGTTCTTTAAGGAATTTTTCTACCAGTGTTTTTAGTTTAATAAGGATGCTGGACAACTTAATTATAAACATTGTTTCAAAAAAAATTTTTTTTAACTCTAAAAGAAAAATAATAACAATAAGAAAATAACTAGTAATGTATAGATTAAAATTACATATATAATCACAATATTACAACATGTTCCAACTTTGTTTCATAAAAAAGGGACTTATATTATGCTGATAAATGTTTTTCATTAGTTTATAATTAGTTATTATTTACCTAAACAAATTCGAAATTATTTACTTATATTACACCAATTGTGAGCAATAGCTAAATTTTTTTTTGGTATTTAGAGTGCTGTAGATTTATGGCTTTATCCCAATTAGAAGATTAAGTGATTAATAATCAGAAGTAGTGAAAAAATTAATGATTAGGCAAAAGTATTCAAAATTACAAATTATTACATAAAGTTATACCAGCTTATTACTTTTTCAAGTGAAATTTTCAAAACTAAAATATAATTCATTCTTACTTTCGAAAGAGGAAATTGGAAGTCTTTAAAAAGTACATCTAATAATAGATTTGTGTTTAATATACTTTGTGTTCTCAGAGGAGGATATTTCTTGAACATCCTGTGGATTGCAACAAGAGAGCAGTTGAGTTTTAAGCTTAAGAATTCAGCATTCATAGCAGTTTTGATCTCCCACAAAGAGCTTCCATCTCTATACATTTTGTAAAAACGTGATTCTACTTCACTTTGATTTTCACAGTCTATCAAATGCAAATAAGTTTCTAAAAAACTGTCAGCATTAAAAATGATTCCATCCTTTCTTAGGGTTGTGGGAGATTTTTTTAAAATTTGAGGAAATCTGAAAAAATAAAAAAAAATAAAATTGAATTTTTAGGTAACCAAAGAAATAAATGGGCAAAAAAAATTAGTTATTTTTTAATAACTATTTTCGGTATCTTAATAATAAAGCAAAAAATAGTTAGACAACAATGGTTTTTAACTAGCTGAAAAGTGCACAAAAAAGGGAACACTTTTAATAACTTTTATCTAATAATCAGATATTCACATACTAGGACTCAAACTTATAGGTTCGAGGACATACCTTGAATATGCAAATCAATTAGTGCCAGCAATATTTTATGTTCTGAAATCAGATAAAAACTTAGTTTTAAATTTAACTTTTAACATAATAGTAAAATACTATATCATCCAAGTCGCACAACCAGATAAGCATAATGTACTCAAATGCCATTCGTGGAAAGTTTATAAATTTTTATAATTAAAATTATCATAAATTTTTTTTAATATTACTCATTGTTAAGATGTAAACGAAAAAAGTCAAAATCCTCATGTTCTACCTTGTTGGCAAATTTTTTAGAAAATTCAAACAGAAAAATTTTGGTAATAACTAACTTCATATCATAAGAAAACTGATATATTTAAAAAATATATATATGCTGGTATGTATAATAATCAATACAGGGATTTATAAAAATTAAAATGCTTTTAAAAAATATCAGTGATTTTCGGCCACATTTTTTCAACATTAGGTAGAGCCAAAAGGGTTAAAACAAGTTTCAAAAGTTAGTAAAATGTTAGGAAAATATATATTTTTTAAATTGAAATTTTTAGTTTGCATAAAGTATTTAATTTTACCTAAGTCTGCATACAGCTTAAAGATTTATATTTAATTTATAGGGGAAAAAATACCTCTGTTTGGAACAAGCAACAATTGCAAGAAATATTATATATAGCAATGCTATAAATAAGTTAATGAAAACATGAGAATGTTGGTAAACAAAAACATCAACAAAATCTTAAAAGCCTGAAAAATAAAATGTTATTGCGTGCATCATTACCAATGCGAAATTCAAGCCATATTACTCATTATTATTATATATTCACATATTATTACACCTAAAAATCAAAATTCAATTTAAATAATCCACAACATTTTGAAGAATTTATAACAAATTATTTTAACAAAAGACTTATATCATAAACCACATTCAAATCGTGAAAAATATCTAATACTTTTAGATAAAAAATTAATGAAAATCCTCATTAAAGATTGAATCTTTAAAAAAATTATTAAAACATTAGAGCAAAAAATTTTTTTTAATAGAGTTTCAGTAAAATCTCTTTACTACAGTGAAACCTTCAGGACAGACCACCTCTATGCAGCGATCACTTTTGGGAGGCACAGAATATTTTCCATAGGCTTTGTGTTGAAGGGAACTCTTTAGAGAGACCATTAAAACATAACCTAGTGACCAGGCAAACATCTGCACCAAATGCGAAAAAGGTCAAATAAGGAAACACCAAAAAATATTGAAACAAAAAATTTAACAAAACTAATAAGTAGATTAAAATGCATTCAAAATATCTGTGTGAAGCTCTTATTCAGAGAGCTCTTTTTTAATGAGTCAACCTCATGTGGCAGTTAGAGTGCACTAAAGACAATGCTATCAATGATTTACTTTTAAAGTAGAGAGTTAAATTAGAAAACAAAGTTATTTTAAAAAATATAAGCATCTTAAACAAACAAACTTTTTCTCATCTTTTAAAGCTAAATAACTTTTTTGATATAAAATTAAATCCAAACTTGAACAAAAAACTTAATTGTTTATTTATTTAAAACAGCTTTATCATTCATAATTTGAAAATTTGTTTGTACACGTAATTATATTAGCTGAGATCATTTTTGTAGAAGCTCAATTTTTTTCATAGATCCGTCTTTTCATGACGGCAACGAACCCCGAGCTTTAAGTTTCAAATGCTCTTAAGTTGCATTTTTTCATTAATATTAACATTTTCAGGTTGAAAATATAAAATCATAGTATAAGTATGTTTTTGACAAATCATGAACAATTTAGGACATTTGAAAAAGGAAACGTTTCGAACCAAAGTACAGGTATGAAATCAATTTGTGAGAAAATTAGATGCAAGTTCACATACCTAATGATATAACTAACAGAGATATTAGAACATCCTAATTCCATGAGAGAAAAGTAACGATGCTGTAGTAAGCTAGGATTATATGATATAATGAGAGGAAATTCAACCACATCACTAAATTTCAAATGTTTCCGGCAAAACTCTGAATTTCGTAAAAAGGTATCAGAAGTTATAGCAATAATATTAGAGTTATGGGATACTATTTTCTTAGCAGTAAAATAAGTACAATCAAGAATTTCAGAGAGTCTTGTGATTCGGCAGTTTACAGCCTCTTTGAGATTGAGTTCAGTCAATGATGAATAGGCAGACGATTTTAAACGAATGTGCTTATATCCTAAAAATATTTTTTCTCCATAACTTAAACTTTTTAGAAAAAATACCATTTCTAAGAGTTATAAAGGCATCTATGCTCTTACGAATTTTGAGCACATTTGATTGTTTATTTATTTTTGCTCTATGATGCAAACGCAAGACTCACTTCACTTTGCATCATTACAACGAAATAAAAAATTGAACACGATCTTTAAACGTTTTTTTCTTCTCATAAGTTTCAGAAATATGATTAATTTTATAATTCAAATTACTAAATGGAACTACGCGTTTTACTATTAGTATCAGATTCTTATAGAGTTGGCATAATTTTTGAAATTTTAGGGAAATAGTGGAGACTCTTGGCAACATTAAAAAGTTACAGACGCAAACATTGAAATGTATCTTTTTCAGCTGAGATAATTTTTCAGTGAGTTTCATTTTCTTAAGCTGTCAATCATCAACTAACTTTATTCAACTATATATATAATTGTCTTATTAATGTAATAAAAATTCTTCTTTTCATTCCGATATTATGTACAGATTTATGCTATACATTTGTGTGAATTTAAAACCAAAATCTAATATGTGGCGTGGGTGTTCAAAATCTAGGATTATTTCTAAATATAGTTTTTTATTTTTTATGCATTTTTATTTTATGTGTTTTTTCCTTGGACAATTTTGAAAAAGTGACATGAACGCAATACATAGCTGTCTTGTTTACGGAGCAATACAATAGTTGCGTTGTTAATTAGCATGAATGAAGCATTTCTTTTAAATAAAGCAAGAATATGAATTAGTTTCTTTATGCGGTGCATTAAAGAAAGTAATTGTAAAAAGTTTAGCTTCAAAATTGTTTGCTAGCGTACTGTTAAAGATTGAGTTATTAATTATTATAATCAACCAGTTAAAACTTCTAGCAATCACTATTCAAATCACTAGCAATAGATTCTAATTTAGTTAAATTTTGTATAATCGCACTACATAAATACTGTTATATTTATGTTTTTAGTTGATCTAATTTTTATTTTTTTTCCATTTTTTACCTCTAAAAACAATGTTTTAGCAACTGAAAGGTTTGTCCAACATTTATTTATTTTATTTACATATGCAGTTTCTAAACTACTGGAACATGCTTGCTGTTATTGTTAAATAGTAGAGTGAGTAAAAAATGATGACAGGATTTCTGGATAAATTTTTAATGGTAAAATACTTTGCATCATAAGGTTATCTAAAATATTGAAAGAATTTTTTTAAAAAGATAGTTCTTTTTTTACATTATAAATAACAATATTGTGCATTTTAGTAATAGGTTGACAATATTGTATTTGTATAAAGTTTACAATAATAAGTAATAATATTGTACAATTAATAATAGTACAATTTATAAATAAGTTTTTACTTACTTTCAATTAATAAGTTATTACTTTAGCACTTAGCTAATTTTTAGGTTGCTTTTAATTGTAAAACCTTTGTCAAAATTCTAAGTGCGCAGTGAATTTTTTACATTCTTTATAATTAGTATATTCTTTTTTTCAGAAAGCTGATGCATTTTCGAATAGTCAAGAGTCTTTTGACACTGCCAGTAGTCTATCACTATTCCAGAAACAAAATAACTGATTATTGGTCACATTATTGTAGAGCTGTTTTTCAAAGTCAGTGGAAGCCTGAATTGCAGCAAAAATGTAAGATTTTAGTTGATTGGAATGGTTTTAAAATTTAAAATTTTCTTTTACAAAAACATATATTGAACTCTTAAATTGAAAAGTGAAGGGACGAAAGTTTACTCTGCTAGTTTAATTATTTATTGATATTATGTTTTTAGTCGCAGATAATTAGTTATTAGTTTATGCCTTTATTATAACCTTCTTGATCTTGAGCTTACCATACTAACACCTATTTTTCTAGTACAATACATCTTATATCACCTACCTACAATAAGTAAGCAATTAAAACTAATTTTCTTGACCTAATTTCATTAGAATTTAATGTTATACTTACTTGTTTTGTTAGCTTTTAGAATCGATCATGATAAATATTAAATGTGCTGTTATACAAATTAATTTTGGAAAATTTATGTTTCAAAGCACCAGCATTTTTTGTTATTTTTATTCAAAGCAGGTCTTCTAGTTTATAACTTTTTTGTACGATAATATTGCTAAAAATCATTTATAATACATCATTATCATGCTTTGGAATGAAGGTGTATCTTATTTGGTTCTATTATTCTTTTTATTTATTATCTTAGTCCTTAAAATTTAGACCATAATCTATATATTATTTTAGATTTATTCCGAACTATGGCATGTTGCGGAAATAGTTGTGGGTCTGACTTCAGTAAACAAGAACTTAAAAAGCGATTGACATCAATACAGTATCAGGTCACACAAGAAAATGACACCGAAAGGTAATTTATTAATTTCTTCTTAACTTTATATTTGAATTGCCCAACTTTACATTGATGTAGAGAAATTTTTAGTTTATTTTAAATTATTTTACTATATCTAAACTAAAGTTTTGCGCTAAATTCCATAATAAAGCAGCTTTATTTTCTAATAAAGATCTCCCAAGCTCAAATCTTTTTTCTTTCTGATTTTATTACATTTTTGTCTGTAAGATTAACTTTTTTGAACAATAGAAAATATTTTAAGGAAATAATTGTTTTTTAAATTTTAGATATTGAATAAAGTTTAAAACTTTTTCATTAAAGTATATTTGCTATATTTAAATGTATATCATATTAAAGGTAAAAAGATTTATTTGTTATTAGTCTAGAATGTCATTACATTAACTTTTTAATGAATAACCCATGTTTTTTCTCATTTTGAAGTAAACTTAACCATTGAGTGTTATACCATTTGTGCTATTTTTAAGATAGTATTTCATTTATTTTCCTTTCAAGAATATGAAGCTTAAACTAAGAAAAATTTCATTCTGGAGGTACATTTAATTTTAGAAGGCATTAACTTTTATACTGTTTGAAGTATTTTTGATGCTATTATTATTTGAGTTTAATGATAATGGAAGCAACTGCTAATTATAATTTTTTGTGTTGTTAAAATCAGGGCTGATTGTGCTCCGGAAAAAATCCGGATTTTTCGCTAACCGTGATCCGGAAGTTTCCGAAGATCGAAAGTTCAGAGGTTTCAAAAAATCCTTGAACAAAAAATCACAAAAGTTTCCAGAAATCAAATTTTCAAAGGTTGAACTTAAAAGCACAGTTTAATTTATTTGTTTGTAAGGACGAGCCAGAAAGATACTTTATAAGCTTATATTCAAGATTAATATTCATTTTGTATCAGTAATTAGTTATTATAATGATAAACTCAAGAAAGAAAGACATATTTGTAAATTTCAATTACTTCTCCAGGTCATCATAGGTATGTGTAAAATTTTAAATATATTTTAAGTAAACTAAGAAATATTGCTAAAAAGGAAAAAACCTTGTTTAAATTTTTTTTGATTTAAACTTTTTTTTTTTACTCGAGAAATTTTCCGGAATTTTGACTTGGGCTCACAATCACCCCTGTAAAATAGCATGAATGATTTAATACTTTCTAGTTGTTATGTTTGCATTTTTAATTTGTAACATTACTATTTATATCTGTAGGAAGGCAACAGTTAAAGTAATGTGTCATAAATAAGAAATCATATTTATTTTTTGTTTGCAATATTTTTTTGGAAACCTAATTGTTTTTAAATGAAGTCTGTTAAATTATAAAATCTTTTTAATATTATTGTTCTTTGTGATGTAGAAATATATATATATATATATATATATATCAGTGATCTGTTCAGGCCAAATTTACTACCGTTAACGGAACCTTCACAAATTCAACTTCAGGAAAAACAGTAGTTTCACAAAATACTTTTTCTTAAAATTTTATTTTTGTATCCCGTAAGAAACGATGAATCCATATTTTTACCATAGTTTTGTGTTGGTTTTTTAATATAATTTTCGCAAACGATGCCTAAATTTTCGCAAAATATGTACCTCTCTGTAAAACCTAGACAGACTCCTGTATGTATATCTATAGATATATATATATGTCGAAACCTTTTGAGGAATTTTTTTTTATAAACCTTTTTTCTTTTTCTAAGAAGCATTTTATGTATAAATATCTTTAAGTATTGTATTTTGTTTCAGACCTTTTAGTGGAAAATACTGCAATCATCATGAAAAAGGCATTTATATGTGTGTTGTTTGTAAACAGGACCTTTTTTCCTCTGAATCAAAGTACGAGTCAAAATGTGGCTGGCCTGCCTTTTTTGATGTAGTTAGTAGCGATAATGTTAAATTAAAAAATGATTTAACTCATGGTAAGCTGTCAAAATTCCTTTTTCATTTTATTTTAAATTATATCTTTTAATTATTTGTTTTTTAAGTAGAATTTAAAAACTAATATGAATAAAATAGTATCTAACAACCAATATTCAACATTTATATATTTTTTAAATATATTTGTGTCTTAACTGATATTGAGCTAAGAATTACTGAGTGTCTTGTCGTAGTTTTCTAAACAAAAATAAATAAATAAATAAATAAAATTAATATTATTTTATTCTAGTGAAATTAGAACAAAATAATAAGAATTTTATTTCATTAGTTTTTTAAGTATTTTTTTATTTTTCTGCCTCACTCTGAGTTTGAGTATTCAATGGTTTTCTTTTATGTGCATAGAATTTTTGTTTCTCTAAATTATGCTATGCCCTCTGCAGAGGGAGATAATAGTTTTATGTTAATCTTATCTGTGATTCAAGTGCAGAATTATGTCTGATGTTCGACAATCAGAAGACTTGTGATTATTATAAATATTCTATGATTATCATCAAATAAATAACTCTCTTTAGTTAAATTATTACTATTTTTCTAATTGATGAATAGTTTTATTTTCAATCCAAAACTGAAAAAAACGGAACCATTATTAGTTAAATATTAAATTATTTTTAAATGTTTGCTTAATAAAGAAAAAATTCCAATGGAAAAGAATGATTTCTTTCTCCACTTAGTCCTAAATTGTTCTGCAGAAATGTGGACAAATATATTTAATTCTGCCTCATATATAAATTGTTCTGCAGGGACCTTGATTGTTTTGTGACATACGTTAAAGTTTTGAGCATTTTCTGCTTTAGGGTCTTCGAAGTATTTAAAATAGTTTTAAACAAAGGCTATTATTTTAATGAAATAGTTATCATCTAGTATCATATATTTTTTTCATAAATTGTAATTTGCGACTGAACAGTCTGTAGGAAGTGCTGTGAATTGGCAAACAAATCATGCAATAATTTGTTTGATTGCCCATGCATAAGCTGTCAAGCTAGATCAGCTGTTTTTTAGAGGAAGAATTTTTGCATTGAGTTGGACAATGATTGGTGAACAAAACTGCCCTTAAAAAGCTTACTGTACTCAGTGCTACGTGGCATCTTCCTAGCTCTAAAGCAGTGGTTCCTGAACTTTTTTGTCTTGTAGACCCCTTGCCATGTTTTTCGGTTTCGGGTAGACGTGATATTGATTTTTTGTAAATTCATCAACTTCAAATGTATTTTTGACAGCTGGTATAGTGCTACTCTCTGTGAAAGATTTAAATTTCTAACTGTAAGGAAATGTAGTGTGAAAAACTTAAGAAAAAGCACATGTTAATTTTATACATTTATTAATTAAATTCAAACTAATTAAATTACTAATTTAATTTTATTAATATGTAAATGGAATAAAATAGTGCACTATAAAACCCGTATTCCATTACTAATATTATAATTTCCGAAATAAGTCTGTATACAAAACCGTAGTGTATTGTTGGTCTGTTAATTACGTTTTCACATAAAAACTAAGCAATAAATCTCCCATATCTTGTGCGCAGTTAAAAATTGGAGGTCAAGCTGGCTAAAGAGTTGACACACTTGCTGGACTACAATTTACCGCAGAAAAATACTTTTTTGTTGCAAAACAAAAATTTACACACAGAGAAAATAAAATTGTACTCAGTTGGAGCTGCAGACAACTGCTAGTTTATAATAATTCAGTTTCGTAAATCAAAAAATAATCCTAATAACTTAAATTTTAATAAAATTTTTTCTTCATAGCTACTTTTATAAATTATGTAGAATGTAGATAGATAAATGTCTTTATATTATAAGGTAATATAATGTAAGTAAATAGATACTATCAGTGTATGTTGATTATTCCATTCACGAAATGCCAAAATTAAGTCATCACCTGCTTATATGAAATCCACTATTGTTGAACCCCACTTTTATTTCATGGACCCCCAATTTTTTTTTCACTTGACATGAACCCCTTGCAGGTTGTAGTTGACCTCCTAGAGAAACGGATTATTTTTCTTAACTCTTCAGCTGTGTGCCTCATATTGAGTTCAATACTCTCCTCGTTTACTTATCTTCATAGAAAGGTGGTTTTCCTCTTTATACATAAATATTGAAACCGCTGTGCAGAGCATTTTTTATTCAAGATGCCTTTGTCGAATGTGATATTTAATCGGGTAATTTTACTTTTGAATTCAAAAAATGTTATTAATTAACTTTTTGAAATTCTTAAATATTGGATTTTTGTAATGTAGAAATATTAAAAGTAATTAATACTCATATGTGTGAAGACTAATAGAAGCAGGGCCTGATGTAAAAATGTGGAGGCCCTAGGGACAGAACTGACAGGAGCCCTCTGGTCGCTACTTAAATCAAAATTTCCCGGTTGTTTAGTAATGAAGCGTTTTTAAATAATTTATAACATAAATAAATTATGATATATTAATAAACTTAGGCTTGTATCTATTTCATTCTTTGTTAACTCATAATTTTAACAAACAATTCTTGAAAAAAGAACCACGAAAGGAAATTATTTGTAACATTTAGGGGGCCCTAGACCTGGTCCTCTTGTGCCTTATGATAATCAAGCACTAAATACAAGTCGTATTGGAAATTAAAAACCTGATTTGACTTTTGCTAGTAAATATTTGATTTTTAAATTCAATTTGATAGTTGGATTTATTTTCACTATTAGCTTACATACTTAATAAAAGCACATTTCTTGTTTTATTATTGGTACTAACCTACTAGATTGGTTAAACTGAATCCTTCAAAAATAATTGTTTATGTATTTTGCATAAAATTTTATTTTAGTTTTTCAGTTTTATTTTAGTTTTTCAGTTTAATTTGGTTGCTTAAAAGAGTATTAATTCAAGTATATTAGATTATAATTTTTATGTGTATGTTTTTATAAATTTGTATGTATGCAATTGTACAGTAATAATTTTTTGTTCTTAATGTAAATGTATATAGCATTCTTTTTCATGATTAAGTTTTTGTTATTTTTTAAAATACAATTTAAACATTTTAAAAATTCTGTATTTTTGTTTTTAATCAGATTTTTATGGGAACGGTTTACTTATTTCATTGTTGAATCAGAAAAGAAAATGTTTAGTTTTTTTTAATAGTGTATTTAATATAATGTCAACAATTTATAACTTTTAAGTTTTGGGAAAATTATAGTAAGTTTTATGAAAATTAATATTTCATACCTCCATAAATATTTCATTGGCTTAAATTTATTAGTTTTATGTTTTTTTCCTCATCTTTTTTTTTGTTTAATTTTTTAAAAGTGTTTATGGTATCCCCTTAAACTATATCGGGGAAAAAAAGAGTTGTCAAAATAGATGTAGTTAAAAATAAATTTTGATAATAAACAGTGAAGAATATTAAAAGAAAATAATTAATTAAAAAAATCTATATAGGGTGTCCTAAAACTCATAGTACATGCGTTAGGGTGTGATAGAAGACAACAACTAGAAAAGCACAAATCGCCATACAATCCATGGTTGAATGCAAGTCGTCAAGCACTAGAACATGGAAAATGCTGTGTCACAAAATGTTGGGAAACAAGACAGATATAGAATAAAAAGAAACCAATAAAATGAAGAAAAACAATTTATTCAATAAAATTAATTTAAACTACACCAATTTCCCATCACAGGAACTGCTCAAAATTGCTGCCGCTAACATTAATGCAGGCTTCACATTGTTGTAGGAATGATCACCGAATCACGCAAAAAAATCACGCTTCTCTCTTTTGGTGTCAGCAGCTGCAGATATCCGGGCTACAATGTCTTGAGTAGAATCTATGGAAATATCTTATTTTATTTTATAACCATCGTTGAACAGCCGACTCAACTTTTTGGGTTTACAACTACTAATGTTCAACTCTGTAGCCATGTGATTTTGAGCACAATCCAGAAGACAAGGGAACTCCAGTATAAAGTATTAGGAGAAATTTGTCTTTGTGAAAGACTTTTTAAAGGAAATAACCTGCATTTTCGTTATGTGGAGAGGAAAACCATGAAATCATGATCCTCTCCGAATTTCGTGGAGGGGAAAACCATGAAAACCTCCCATTGTTAGCCCGACAGCAAAGGGACTCTAACCCATGATCAGTCTACTACTGTGGATATTTTATGTCAGCACTGTGGTCGGTGCAAGTCAGTTGCGAAATTCGTATTGACCAATCATTGCTGGAATTCAAACCCGGTTCACCTCATTGGAAGGCTGACACTCTATCTCCTGAGCCATTCTATGGGACTATCCTCATAGATGAGGCTTTTCATATGACCCCACGAAAAAAAGTTCAGATATGAAATTTAAAGTGCAGATCCCGAAGGAAAGTCTATGCCCTCTAGTGCGATAGGACTATGGGTTGTATGGTGATTTGTACTTGTCTAGTTGTTTTCTATCTCCCCTTAACATATGTGCCATGAGTTTTGGGACACTGTATATCTTGCATGCTGAAGCTAGCTTTAAAAACCTAACGCAGTAGATGTAGATTACTAACTGGTTTCAAGATAAACACTTAAGGATACATTTCTTTTTTTCTGTTCCCTTGTGATGCCCTTCTCTTATAGTTAGTTGTAATCTTCTTCTCCTAACTATGCAACCAGATATGAAAAGAATAGAAGCCTCTTGCTCAAAGTGTGGAGCCCATCTTGGCCATGTGTTTGATGATGGACCCAAGCCAACTGGGAAGCGCTACTGTATCAACTCTGCCTCTCTTGATTTCAGAAAAGCTGAAGAAAGTCCTGATACTGCCAACTCTTGAAAAAATAAGATTTACGACTATTTTACAAATTGAAGGATTTGTTGTTTTTTTAGCTATAGATGTTGTTAAGCACACTTTGTTTACACTTCATGCTATTTTGTATTTTCACCTTTTGTTTGTGCAAATTTTAGTTGATTTTGGATAGGGTAATATGCTCATGTTTTCAAAGTAACTTATGAATTTAGTTTATTTTTCTTGTATAAGCATAAGCACTTAATTTGAGAGATTTTAAAATTCTTGTACCTTTTTTATTTATCAGTATTAGGTTGGAGCATATAAATATTTTTAATTTTTTGTAGTAAGAAAAGTAGCATCATGAAAGTGGATCATTTTATTTTCTATATGTAATCCAGTTCAAAATGAAATTATTGCCTATAGTCTGACAATTAAATTCAATTTAAAATAAATTCCACAGGTTATTAATTTCAATCTCTTATACTTTTTACTACTTATTATGAAGTACCCTAAAACATTTTTATTTTGATTCTTAATGCACTATTGTGAGTTTACAGATTATATTTATATTATATGTAAATAAATGATTGACATTTTGTAATTGCCTCTTGGGCTGTTGTACTTAAAAATTTGCTCAATTGTTTTAAACGAATAATTATAATTTTTCTGTTAATAATATAGATTTCTTTTGTTATTTTGATGAAGAAAATATAATAATTATTTTTGTTATTTTGTTCATGAAATGTTTTTCCTTTTTTTCTGACTGTCACACTCATATAAAAATAACAAAATAACAATATTGTAATTATATATATTCAGATATTCTAATTATTGTTTTATATCTTGTTTTATTTTTCTGATTATGCAGTCTGACTAAGGATATTGCTATAAAATTGATATAACTTGTTAATGTAACCATGTAATAATAATGTATTTTTTTATTTTTTATTTTCGTATGTTGCTGCAATAAATTTTTAAAATGCTATTTTAACTATTTATAATGTCCAAAATTTTTAAAAAATAATTTTGAATTGCAAGAGGTGGGTAGATTTTGTTTAATTTAGTTCTTTAAATATTCTATGTGTTTATGATTTTATGGACTTCTTTTCTTAGTGTGTTTTATTCTTTTTTAAATAACTCAAGTCTTATTTAAAATTTAAGCTGTATTAATATTATATGTTCTTAGAATAATTTCTTTTTAAAAAATATTATTTTATTTCGGTTTAAATTTTTTTCTTTCTGAAGAGTTTATATATATTATATATATATTTACCATAATACTCTGTATATGGAATAATATTTATTTTAACATTTATATTTAAATTTGTATAATTTATATGAAATACTCATCACTTATTTAAAGGTTAAACACTTGTATCTAATACTATTTTATCTAATACAGTTTGCATTTCTTTTTTTACGTTCAGTTTCAGGAATCTTGCTTTCAAATATTAAGTATGTAATTTTATCAAATTTGTTGCTTTTTAAGATTAATCAAAAACAAAATTATTTATTTGCACCAACCTAATATGACAGTCTTTTAAAAATGATACAGATATTTAAAGAAGGGCTGTTTGATAAATCTGTGTGTTAAAATAGTTTTTTTAAAAATGTCAGAATTAATTTTAAGAAGGTTATAAATTTTTTTTTTGTTGAAAATTTGCTAATGCTTGCATTTTTGATCAAATGCAAATTCCAAAAACATATTATTCTTACAAAAAATAATCAGAACTCTCATAGCCTGTCCAGTTTTAATCAAGTTTTTTGAGCCTATTTTCCTATTTAAAAATATTTATTTATTTTTAAAATATTAATTTAGAAAAAAATTATCCAAACTGCTTTAGAAATATTTCAAATAAAAATAAATAAAGAGAAAGATAACATGTGATTCATGACACATGCATTCATTTTTCACTGCCTGAATAAAAAAAACAGTAGACTTCTGTCAGAAGAGAATTACACAGAATTATTAACAGCCCTTGTAGGTAATGAGTTTATATTGTTTGAAAAAAGTATTTATGTTTGAATCATTTCAAACAAAATCTTCTCATTGTTTATTTTAATAATTGGCATGTTATGTATTAGAATACATTAAATATTTTCCTTTTTTGCAAAACTATTCTTGAATAGAAACGCTGCATGAAACCTATACATAAAAATGGCATTATATCATGAGGTATGCAGAAAGAGGATTTAAAAGTTGATATTTTTTATGTACATAAATAATTTTGTTGATAAATTTATCTTTTTACTGACAATATTAAATTAAAATAGTTAGGAAGAAAAACTCCAGTTTCAGTTTCACAAATTTTTCAGTTTGGATTTTGCCTGAAAAAATTTTCATGAACGAGCTTATATTTTTAAAAAAATTTGAACTATTAGTTAAAATTGTAATTATTAGTGAACAAACTTTTAATTTTAATGCTCTATATTTATTCAAAGTGTTTTACATTTTAAAGTAGGTTGTACAAAATTTACATAGACCATTTTTATTTTACTATTAGTTGATGAATTTTTTTATTTATATATTGCATTAAAATGAAATTATGGAATGCTTAAATTTTTCTTTATTAGTTTCTTTGTATTATTTATTTACTTTACTGTTTATTTGAGCTTTCATTTGTTTCTATTTATTATGTTTGAAATAAAGAAACTTCTATGACTTTTGCAATTTGTAAATTCTTGTCTTGTTACAATTTAAAGATAAAATCAGCACAATATTTATGGAAATTATAAAAGTTTAGTATTCGTTATTTAGTTTATTTTTCAAATCAGACAATAAGAATTGAAGAAAATTCACGACATCTCAATCACTCAGAAATTTTTAAAAAATTCGAAGTGTATAATGTTATAAGTAATTCGCTAAAATTTTGTGTTGCCAAATCTGAGAATAGATTTAGATTTTTACGCTTACGTTTAAGGAGGTTATGCATTATTTATTTGCAGTAATGTTTCTTTTTCCATGTATTAAATCTCATCTATAAGTAAAATTTATTGTTTAAAAATGATAATTTGTAATTTAAAATTTTCCCAGCAGTCGAAAATTTCATCGAATAATTATAACGTCTTTTATAGATGTTTAAATATTTTTAAATCAAATTTATCGAAGCAAGAATGAAATATAAAATCTCTGTTTTTGATACTGTTTTAAATACAGAAATAATATCTTCAGCAGTTCGCAGCTATGGATAATACATTGAAGAAAAATTACCAATTTTCTAGAGAAACTTATCAGAGTTTCTTTCATTTTTGTTACTAAAATCTTATTCATAAATAAAGTTTAAAATCCTTTTCTAAGCCAAACTCGAAAAAAAAAGAATTGTTTCTACATTAAGTGTTATCTTTAATTAAGGTTTTTAAAAAGAATTATTTTTCAGAAAAAGGTATCATAAAATATGCAACAAAATGTAGAATTCTTTCAACATATTTAAGTAGTAAGTTACTACATATTTTATTTATTACTAGCTGAATACCTGTTCTTAGTACGGGGTGTAGAAAGCATCAATAATTTAGTATTGAACAATACTAAAAAATCGTGCACAAAACTTAAAGACAAAATAATTCTTATGTTTTTCATGTATTACTATTTGTTGCCTTTCTCGGTGGCTTTACGTTATTAGATTAAGTAAAACATGTATTTAGTTGTTCATTTCATCAAAATAAAGATTAACTGTATTCAGTATCATCTAGCATGATGCTGTTGCTCAAGGCAACTCATGATATTTAAAATTTACCACCACTAAGTTACTTTCTCCTATCTTCGTGGGGCTATAAAAAAAATCTGTCACAAAAATGTGCAGTATTGGTGCCGCTGTTATAGGCACCAAATTTGCTCTTAAAATATTTTATACCTATTAAAACTGCTCCAATTAAAATGATGCCAGTTTTAAGCATCATTGATGTCAATGATAGGAGGGCGACTTTTTACTGTTCCCCGCAAGAAATATGTACCATTTCTCCCTTAACTTTGAATTTTAGTTCAAAACCTTTTTATTTTTAAAATTTCATTTACCATTATTATCATTCATATTATTCAAATTTCATTCACATTATTTGATTTTAATTTTTTTAGATTTATAGCTAAACGTTTTAAAATTATAACTATAAACAAAATAAACATGTGGTTTCAGATTAGAAGTATTAATCTGGTGAAGCGGTCCGCCTTTGCTATCACGTTTTTATTGATCATTCAAATAACCTGTCATAACGAATGAAAAATAAGACGGAACGCGCCGCAATAAACTAATTTTTTTTAAATTAGAACTATAACCTGGCAAACAAGGAAAAAAAATAAGAGAATAAAATAAGCTTAAAAAATGTTTCGTTTTTTTTGTAATAAAAGATAATGGTTATCAAGGAGGCATATTTCTTCATTGTTTAACTCATATTATTTTGAATGGAAAAGCTCCATGGAAATATCTATCTATATATAACCAAATTTTTTTTAAGGCTTCAAATTCTGATGCAAAGAAAATAAAGAAAATTTTTTCCTGACTTATGACATGAAATTTTTAAGGAATTGATATCAAGCAATCTGAGTGTAACTTATGTCGCAATGGGTCACCAACAAAAGCGGAAAATCTCCAACTAAGTATTTTTTTCCCTCTCTATAACACTTTTTTTTCTGAGGAGACGAAGCCTACTTTTTTTAATGCTTATATATATAATAATTAGTATATCATTATATAATTATTAATAATTGTATAGATATAAATTACATAATAGATCAATTCTTACATCACACAAAAAAAAAGAAAAAGCTGAAAGTTGTTTCAAAAGTTGTGATTTTGGACCCAATATCTGTAGAACAATTTTACCTGTTTGATTATACTAATTTAAGTGTCTTAATCCTTATTTAGGTTCTATTTTCTATCTATTATTATTACACTGCTCAAAACAATACTATGGCAGCTAAAGCTCACCTCGAAGGAAAGGCGATTTTCAGATATCCATATTTAACCCACAGCTTTTAAAACATCATCAGTTTTCCGCTAATTATTTCTGAGTTCGACTGCTTTAGAATTGTCCTATAAGTTATTAATTTAATTAATGATTTTAATATTTTTGTTTTTAATATTTTTTTTTAAATAATTGTAAATATTTATGTTTAAATTATTTTCATTCGATCGGAAACTTTTTTTTCTTGTTTTTATCTATCAGACTTAAATTTTAATGAACCGGAATTATAAACCGGACTAGAAAATTTTTTCTCGTCTCCGATTCTCGTAAAATTGTTATCGACTCCAAATCCCTGAGACAAATTAATTGATAAATATTTGTTCCAATATGCTTAATTTTTTATAAGTAAAAAAGATAAAAGATTTAAAAAAAAAGATCCAGATTTTTTCTTTGCAAATCTTGCAATTTTAAATTGAAGGAATATATGTTATTACGTTGCCGCCAGGAATAGTAGTTAAAATAAGAGACCACGAAAAAGATTAGAATTCCCAAACGTAGAAACTAATATACCTTTTATTCAAATTTAAAATTTTTAATGTAGAAAAGAAGGTATTACAATCAATTACTTAAACAGAAAAAGAATTATCATTTCTAAAGAACATACACGAGATTGGAAAGGAAAATGCTTAATTACCTCTTTGTAGACCTTCAAACTGCATTTTTTTTTTCGTTGTCTTTCATTCATTGTTTTAGAAATACATACACATCATTTTTATCAACGTTACTACTTATTTCTATTTTATTCTCTCCACTTATTTGACTAACTTTAATACAATTTCCACTCAGTTCTTTTTCCTCATTAACCAACTTAACTCATTTCATTTTCACTTTCTTTCTCACATCACCCCCACCCCCAGGAATTTCTTTTATTTTTATCGTCCTTTAAAAATCCACCCCTTCAAAAGTCAAAACCCAATTATCTTAGATTATTTTAGATTAACAGTAAAGCTCCAATCAAAACTTAAATAATTTTAACCAATCCTGATTTTTCTTTTCTTTTTCTAGCGGAGTTCATCGAACAACCCACTGGTCAAAGGTTATAATAACTCCTTAAATTGGGTTTTTCTCACAGTTGCACAGGAAACATAAATCGCTCTTACCAGCAGAAGTTCCAAAAACAATAATTTATCTTAACTCCCGACTTTTTAAGTAAAGAAAAAGGGCAATTAAACAAATAATTGAGTTAAAATAAATACGAAATTAAATTAGTTAAAATATAAATTAAGTTGGGATACAATTAATGATAACATAACAATGTATCTTCCATTCCGTTTTCGTGTTATCTCCTTCTAAATATCAATTTTTCCTATCTTGGATTACCCCATGTAACCTATTAATTGTATTTAGTACGAAAAAATTGCTTTTTAATATTTCCTCCAGAGGCATAATATACAAGTTAACACGGCTACCGATCGTGACGATTTTCGCTTTTTTTTGTTCCATAAATTACGAGGGCCTGTAAATGTAGAACATACACATTTTTCAAACGTCCTTGAGATACAGGTGCTAAACAATTATCACGTTTTTGCGAAAACGAAATTTTTAAGTATATGAAGTACGGATGCGTGTATTTGTTTTCCTGGTCGTAGTAATTATCGGTGTAGAAATGATAACTGGAAATGGGGACAAAATAAAATTTCACTACAGTAGGAAATAAGGTGGGAAGAAAAAGATGACTGATTGAAATCGAAAGTTTTAATTTTGGAAGACGATAAAGCACTTCTTCATGACCTTAGGCTTTCTGTTTCATAACAGTTATTATTTATTAAACCATTGCAGCCGCCAGGGTTTGAGATTATAGGTACTTCCTCGAATTAAATTTTAATTGGAAGATAACGCACTATACTTTTGTGTTTATTGTTCCATAAAGTTGCGAAATTTGTTTCAGATATATTTAAATATGTATTATAAGATCATAGAAATATCGGTTCTGCTTTGAACCATATCAATACCTTAAGTCGTAATAAGCAGTGCTATAAAATTTGTGAGGTTTAAGATTGAACAATGCTTCTGTTCAAATTTAAACTTAGTATCGTACAGCAATGTTTATGAAGTACGTTGACGTGGTGCAACTACAATTTAGCACCATATTAAGGATGCACCAAGTTTGTACAGTATTATTGTTCTACTCTGTAAATTTCTAACAGTTTCGTGTGCATGTTTTGCGAAGATTATAGACTAGTGGACTAAACAGAACATGAGTTTCTTAAGTACTTAGTGCGCTAAATGAAATTTTGAGCTAAATGACTTTTGATTTAATGATCGGATTTTCACGTTCTAGGACTTAATGGTTCGAAGGTCTAAGCTTTAAAATGGTAATTAAATAGAGCAGAGGGCATTTTAAGTTACGAAATTTGACTCAAAAATGTTTTTTTCTTTTTCTCTGAATAAACACAAATTTTTTTTGGATTTGAATTCTTGACCATCAAAATATGGAGAATTGTTACAATTTCCAACAGTTTAGACAGGGGAACATGTGGGCACTTTTATCCCCTTTACTTTTATTTAAAATTACATCATGTATTTGTATAAAATCATATTTTGTATTTCTACTCCTTTTTTTAATATTTTTTAAAATTATACTTTGCTCTTAAATGTTATTAATTTCTTTTAATTTTAAACAATCACAAGTAATGCTAGTTATGTGTTACATTAAATCCACCCCAATTCATAAACTAAGTACTAAAGTTAAGTTGCATATTTTTAAATTTAAAGCTAGA